CAATCCACCACAACGCAGGAGTAGGAGGCATAGAGTACTTGGCATTCCTGAGAGAACCCATTTCATCAAGCCGACCAGTAAACTTCCATGCCCCACCTCGTACTGAGAGGCATCGATGTAGCCACTCCTAACCATAACGACAAAGGCTCTTTCAATGTATCAAATACCGAATACCATTCCCTCACTACATCGTAGTAGCTCCTCGGTCTAGTGCCATCTGAGTAGTCTGACCTCGCTGGGCATGGACCCCGTCAGACCTCTGCAGTTGATGAGTACTCGAGCCTCTATCCTCTCTTGAGAACAAAGGATCGTCCCGGAGAATGGATAATATATCCTATGGACATTATAAATTCGAGAAATCATGAATTGATCCAGAATTGAGATCACTTGATCCACAAAACCTTCTCCTTGCTCTGCTGAATTGTGCTTCCCCTTCCGTTTCCGCTTCTTACTACCTGATAAAAATCTAGACTGTCACTGAAGCATAACTCGTTTTTTTCCGAGATTATCCACCAAACCCCGGCAAGGACACGAAAATTTTTTGACGGGATGGAAAATGTGATGAGTTTATCAACCCAAAATGATATCAGGAACAAGCCACCAAGGCGAGCCTTCGTCGAAGGCTCTTTCGGAAGTAACTCAGGGTTAAAATTCAAGTATGCAAGGATAACATATAAAAATAGTACCTTTTCCGCGACCCTTAGAGTTGTTGTCCAGTACTCCCGGATATAAGTTTTTAAAGGCCAATTGGAATTCCTGAGACATAACTTATCCCAAATCGATCGCGTCAAAATCAGCAGTCACCTCCTCTAGAATATTGAGGGCCACTTCTTTATCCTCTAAAGATGCCTTACCCTCCGCCATCAAGTCGTGCAAGACGTCAACCAAGCACTGCCCTATCTGAAGGCCGCCATTAGCGATGTATTAACAATGGAAGTATCACCTGGGTATGATGGTATATCCTCGGTAAGCCCCCTGAGATGGTGGTCAGATCCACACCTTCAGTGTTGTCATCACCGTCTATAGTCGAGAAATGCAAGGGCTCTACAATAGCGGAAAGCAATCATCAACGACCCACTTCGAATTCAGCACAGGTGGTTCACATAGACGATTTTCCGAACAATAAGATCGGAATTGATACGCCAAGCACTGAAGAGTCTACTTGAGCCAATACGGCATACCTGAATCCTGCAGTTCCGTACTGGAAACCATAAGATCTCGCTCCTCAGAGGAGCTCATACTGCTGATAGACTCTTCATCGTCATCATTCGACACTTCCCCTAGGAGCCCAGCAGCTACAACAGCGACACAATAGGATACCGACTCACCATCCTCGTCAGCTCCCTGCACGCCGATGTTCGCGGCTGAGGAACTGCTGCTACTACCACCAGGCCCTGTATCATCCATCCCCGCCAACCTCAGTGACATAGACTGCTCGGTCGGATTATTATACCCCAACTATAACTACTCGGTTGTTATTATAGATACTCGTGCTCAACACTGATTGAAATCACATTATCCAAAAAATGTGTCTCGAATGTCATCATCTCAACGGTCCACTTATATTATCAAAAAATGCACTCATAGTACTCTACTTCCGTCACTAACATCGCTGATCAGCCTCGCCATAAGGAGGATGCTCACGATAATGATGACGGAGCAAAGAGATACCCGTAGTGCGTAAAAACAGTTCAGCAATCATACGAAAAGGTTCAACTACCACGCGTAATTGTGCTTGAGGTCATCCACCAATCTAGTTGACCATAACGCCTTCCAACAATCAAATACTTACTGACGTCAACTACATAACTACGATCAAGAGTAGTGATAATTTACCACTACTGGAGATTGTACCCATGAAAGAATGATAAACTACCACTGGTACAAACACAATTTTCCTATTTTTCTATCAGATGTTGCTACGCCTTGGCCTCTGCCGCCATAGCATCCCTCATGCTAGCTTTTTTCTCCTCAGCAATAAGCTGAACAAGATCCTCCAATAGAGGAGGGTTCGCTGTTGGCGGAATGCCGTTCTGAGAGTGTGGATCACCACTCCTGACCAGGCCTGCAGTGTTTACTTGTATGAACAGCATTTTCACCTTATCCTGTATAGAGCTGCCTGTGTGCACTGGCTGAGAAGAAAGAACAATAACTACTTCTCACAAAGGCTCAAGGTGTTGGATTAATATTTCGAAATCGAGGTAGTTGTATTAAATTAGTAACAGTAGATGGAGGAGAGGGTATCTTACTGATCTTTGGAGGTCGCGCTCAACCTCGATCTCGGGATTATCCTCCAAAATCTTCTTCAAAAGCGCCTCTGAGAATCAACATGAACATTCCCAGTCCCCACATAAAAATCATTCCAGTTCGTATCTCGACATGATTCGTATCTTACGCGCCTCGACCTAAGATTCTTTTCGAACCTTACCGTCCTGTTGTGAGAAGTAAATATTCTCAGCTGCCCTTTCGCGTTCACTCATCATCTTTATACCAGTGAACGTCGCCTGAGGGGATAAATCGCGAGATCGATGGTATATGAACGGACCCTGCTGTTGAATGAGTAGCGACGACTCGATCTCTCCAATGAGTTAGAAGCACGACGGATGGCAAGCATCAGTGGAGGAGAGGAAAACCAGTGGTTAAAAAATACGATTAACGCTGACTATGCATGTTACGCCCTGCCGTCTCGAGACGCTCCGGCCGCGATTGACCGCGCACATGGAGATCGGCGGCGGCGGCGGAGCAGTTAGTTCCGCGCTCGCCCTAAACTCCATATTGAAGGTCACCAGTGAGTCACTGGCAGTGACCCGAGTTGTCTGCCGTGTGGCTATTTTAGCGACTAGACGCATGTCGAGGCCAGCATTAGTCGAGGCTTTGTGTGCCAAGTAAGCTAGGCCAAGGACCGCCAGAAGCTCCGAACTTGAGAGTTCGGAGTCTGCCAGTCGGGTTTGGCTTGATAGTCTTCCCACGGGTAAGTTACAAAATCCAAGGGAGAACGACAAAATCCAAGGAGGTTTGTCGCTCGCTCTCAGCAGTTCGGGTTTCTGGTTGCCTTTGATTACAGCTTTTAGCCGTATAACAGCTCGGGTTTCTGGTTGCCTTGTCGGGTTTCGGGTGGGATTTCGGGTTTACCCTGCAACTTGTCTTCCTTGGATTTTGCCGTTCTTCCTTGGATTTTGTACATCACCCGTCTCCCACCATCCCGCCTGGAGGGAGATCTGAGGTCAAGTGGCTGAGTCGGACGACTCTGTTTAACTTTCGCGTCGGACTGCGGCTAGGATGCGCTTCTTGCTTCAAGGCCAGAAAGCTTTTCTCATTAGCCACTCAACCAACGCGCAGGTCAAACAATGTTCTCCAGTTGCGATCGCACGGGTTGTTTAACTTGCTATGTATACGTCCCGGGGGTGTCCGTGCTGTGATGATTATGCAAATGCGAGATTTTGACGTTTTCGAGATACCCTCAACTCGCTCGCTGATGATGATGATGATGATGATAATGGTCATCATTCGACCGACGTCGGGAAGAACAGAACGTGTTTCGGATTCGGGGAAACCGAACTATCCGGACCTAACCTTGATCAACCGAACTCCGAACCGAGCCAAACCTCTTCTAAAAATTCGGTGCCGACCCCTAGATGACAATGAGTGCTGTGTGTTGCAACTTCTGGTGTGAATATGATCATATGCAGTTCCTGTTTCATCCATCAGAGTGACTGAATCACTTGGCAGTTCTATGACTCAAAGTGTAGTCTCAAGAGCCTGGTTCTAAAATGCTCTTTGAGACGGCTATGGAGAGTAACTCTCCGAGAGTTCCAGCTGGCATCCGTCCCGACTACATCGCTAAGCCTCGATACTATGGGAAGGTCCCCATACGGTCTGACCGTAACGGCCACCAACGATAGGTGGGCACCTTCTGGATGTCGAGTGGAGAGAGGCTTCAAATTACACGAATAAGAAACCACATGGTAAGTGGCTGGTGGCAGATGGGGATGAGATTGAAGTGTTTTTGAAGGGTTGAGCTTCGCATAACAACGCTAATGCATGATCGTTGCGGATCATTCCAGATAACGTGAATAGAGGTGAGGACAGACCAGCTATTGTTAGGACGAAGCACCTAAGAGAAGGGCAGGCTAGGAGGGGGTCCCTAGTGTAGCAGTTTGCACTCGACTTCAAGTTGCTCTCTATTCGGGGACGCAGTCCTAAAAAAGATTATAGGCCCGTTAGTGTTGTAACTGGTAAAAAGTAACTCAGGAGAGTGAAGAAAAAGCCGTCTCTGCTTACAAGTGGTACCATACGACTAAGGCAAGATTGAGAAGTGTGCGCCATCCTCCCAGGGGAAGTGGAGCATTCGACATCTTCCGTTACAAGTTCTCTAGCCGGCTCGGCTGGATCATGAACCGTACACTCCTGGTTCAAGTTCCTTCGCTCCAGCCTTCCCAAGCCGAGAAGTTGGACATATCATGGAACTGTCTGCCGAGTTGGTAGTCACCTAGTTCTGCTGTGTTCAAGTCCGTAACTGAGCCTCGCTCGACGTGTATATAGTAGATAAACCTCGTCGAACGAGTCGCAATAGAAACTGTGCAAAAAAATATGTTGAGAGGGCGCGCCCGGATTTGAACCGAGGACCTGCTGATCTGCAGTCAGCCGCTCTACGCTGAGCTACACACCCGGCAGTGAATTAAGAATTATTTTTGATCCGGGCACGTCAATCATTGACG